ATATAGACTGTTAGAGTAGAATGGTTTAAAAATTATCATACTAGCACCAGCCAATATTGAGATACACACCAATAACTGGATTGATGGGAGATGAAGATGAAAAGAAGTGGACTGAACTGTTTTGCTAATTTTTCACTTTCCTCTTAGACAAGGTAGAGCCACGCTAGTGGTACCAATGGAGTCCTCTGGTCATAATAAGGTCCTCTAAGAAGTCTGGTAAGCACAGAAGCTCATTTTCTTGGTATAGCAAGGCTGCAAAAGTCGTGGCAGATATATTGTTTTGCGGTGACTCCTACTTAGTAACGCTACCGCATTACTAATAATCTATTAATTAACACCCCTTAGAGTCTAGTTGTTCATGTAGGATGTTGATAAATAAATTGATGGAAGTAGACATGTATGCATGCAGATGTATAAGTTACTTACATATACATTTAGATGATTTGACCTTTTAGTGAAATTTATCCTCCCATTAAAAATGCATATATTATTGCTATTACCATTTTTACAGTAGGAAGAAGAGCCAGGCAAGGCTTTCTTTTTCACAAGTGACGACATGGTCCGACGTTGATCTTCCATCATCTCCTGTTCCTTCAGGTATATATTACTTTCAACAAAATTTGTAAATTGTAATCAGGGTTGTTGTAATTCTAATTTTAATCATTAGAAATTAGCAGTGGGGGGGCAGGGGAAAGCTTCCCCCCCCAACTCTTCAGCTTCCCCCTCAAGACTTCAAGCTTCCCCCGTATTCTTCTGTATTTGCATGTATGTATATACACAACCTCACCCCTGGTCAACTGCTTTTGGCTTCCACGAAACAAAAATTCCTAGATAGAACCTGCAATTATTAGCTAATTCTAATTGTAATTTTAATTATAAGGATTATTCTATCTAATTGTAATTCTAATTGTAATTAAAAAACAAGTAATTTAGTTAGGCAATTATTGTATAGTTAATGTACATGTACCAGGAGCCCATGAAAAAAGTAACTTAAGGAATAAATAGTGAAGCATCAGGAATAATCACAGCCTCTTTTCACTTTCCGCATTCATGCATGTCATTTGACATATTGACTTTTTTATTGTCTTACTCAAAAAATCTTCAAAAACCTTCAGAAACTAAATGCTATCTAATTAAATTACTAATTCAATTACAAATCATTCAAAGTAATTGTAATTCTAATGATTAATTTAGTCAATGGCTAAAACTAATTCTAATTCAAATGATTACATTGCCAGTCATCAAGTAATTGCAATCATAATGATTAATGACTCGAAATAATTACAACAACCCTGATTGTAATATGGGCTTTGGTTCCTGTTTCTAAGGTTCTACTATCAAAATAAATCCTCCATTTTAATAAGTCTTAGTG